TATACAGACAAGTCCGCAAAATGGAAGTCATCGGAGACACGTGTCATGGTGCTGCAGCTCCGATGCATCACATTGTATACGGGCATACTTTCTTCGCTGCACGCGTCCTGGTTTACTCGGACGTCTCAAAGTGTCAATTGAGCACGATGGCTTCCTGGGACAGGGAGCTGTAGCTCGACAGGTCATTGCCGCAGCACACATATCATCGGCCGCCGAACCACTCGTCGTCCAACAACTCCGCTGCGGTCGCCCTCTCCGCAGGAACAATCGCAAGGCACCGGCGCATGAACGCGCATGTAGCCTTCACGTCCGCATCTGACATGTTCTCCCTGATGTGCAAGAAGTTTCCAAACCAGCTCTCCAGCGGCCCAGTCCCGAGCGGCTCTGGGACACGTAACAGAGTACCTGCAAAAATGATTACGTTGTCACCTTCTCCGGCATAGAGTGGTCAAAAGGGAGACAAAAACGTGCCTGTCTCGTCAAAGTAGTCTGCGCGTTTGCTGCTTTTGTCGAGGAACGCCGCTGGGAAAGTGCCGAGGTGCTCGACCATGCGGCTCAGGTGGACGGCAGTCTCGTCGAGCTTGGGAGTTCGCTCGACTTGGAACAGAGATGCACCCGTGAGGCACTCAAAGACCTGCATCTGCGTGTCAGATACGCATGTCCGGCAGCAGCAGAAATAGAGGTGGTCACCATGCAGCCGACAGCCCAGACGTCGATCGGGGTCGACCACAAATGCCCGAGGAGCAGTTCGGGAGGACGCAAAAGCGGAGGGGTGACAATCTTGACTTCCTCGGAGATCTTGTCCAGAGGAACCGCTGCATTGAATAGTCCCTTCAGTACACCGCATACGGGGCTCACTGCTTCGGGCACATACCGCCTCCGAAATCACCGAGTGCGACGTTGAGGTTCTCGAGAGAGGGCTTGAGGCCCATGTTGGGCAGCGGCTGAGACTTGACCGTGATGATAGGGCCAGACCACAGCTCGGGCGCGGATCGCGGCGGGTATGTTTCGGGAGGGTGATCACGGAGGTATCGTTCGATGTCTTCCGTTCCGGCATCCATCTGTATGAATACATTCCCGGCCTTGACGTCTACTGATTGTCAGCATGCAACGTCCACCTTTCCCGGGGTAGGGACTGCGCGCACCAGCATGCACAAGCTTGAGCTCCGTATGCACGAAATCGAGCGCGAGGAGAATCTGCTTTATCGCACGCTTTACGACGGGAAGTGGGAATGTGAACCCGGGCTGGCCGACTTGCAGCTCGTCGAGTGTCGACCCGGACAGCTCCTCGACGAAGCACATATGCGTCCCGTGGGGGCTTTCCGCGGTGAATACTGCCTGCGGCTCGACGCAGTGCTTGAAGCCGGGATGTGCTGGCGTCTCCCACTTGGACTTGTAGCGCACCTCGCGGAAGCGTCGCCACACCTCGAGCTCGAAGAACTCCCCTGATTCGATGCCGCGCGTGTAGTTGACCGTGAGGATCTTGACCGCGACGTATCGTTCATTCAGGCCTCTACAAGGGGCTCGGAGGTGAGGAGGGTTTATATACTTGGAAGAGGGAGAGGGCACGTACCGTTTCTTCTTGGCGAGCCAGACGCTGGAGTTTGTCGCCCAGCCCAGTTTGCGGACGATCTCGTACTGGCCGCCTTCCAGGTCCTCAAAGACCTGGCCAAGCTGGAGGGGTATATATCCTATCGGGCCACCGCGCTGCATGCCCAGCATGTGCGGCTCCTCGTCGCAGGTAAACTCGAATGGATGCGATGGGTCGTCCTGTACACGGATTGTGGGTCCTTGTCTGTCGCTTTTTGCGTCGTTGGTCGACATAGCTCGTTTAAAGCAATTGTAACAACTATAGGAGTGGGGTAGCCCAAGTCCATAGCTGGGCAGCAATGTTCGGCGAAGATGAAATTGCATCTGAGAAAGTAACCGGGAGCTCCGAGTCGCTGCGCTGGCGTTTGGAGCGAATCGAGCGGCGGAGAGCAGTCTTCCTAGCAGCATCATGAGGTCCTGAGAGATCGTGACTGGACATAAAGTTGCGAGGAGTGCACAGGGACGGCCCCAAGGAGTTGCCGAGGTTAAGTACTCAAGCTACAACCGCGCAGCTGCTGCCCCACAGTGACGTCTGCCGATGACTATTTATATTCTTCAGCGTCGATGCCGTAGCATATCTATCCTAAGCACTGACCTGGAAGCTGCTTATCTGTGTGCTGTGGTTCAAAGGGTGGCGAGCAGAACTGTGTTGATGTGGTCAGAGTGAGTAAGTACTCAGTACAGTAGATGAAGTTCTAACCAACATCGTGGCGGTGCGGGCTAATCCGATATAGTCGGGGCGCTCATCGGGCCATCGTGATCGATGCGACTTGAACTTGAACTTGAACTTGACCTTGCCAAATCCGCTGCACTTCTCTCTAGAACTCATCCGAGCTTCGAGTTTGCCACGGAACGCTACTGCTGTTGTCGACTCGAGCCCATATGTCCGCCCTTTCAAGTCGCGTCGGCTCTGTTACCTCATGGACATCTCGCCTCGACTAGGACTGTCTCCCTACCGAACGTGTCTCCGCTCTGAACGGTGAGTACAGCCTAGCTATGATTCTCCACACGTATGCGTCGGCGACTCTTTGGATGAAAGGGCTGAGGACTTTATGGTTGAAACCACCGCTGGATCTTGAAAACGGACGGTCGACGATGTCTCCGAGACATCGGTCTCTTTCAGCAACCATTCAGTCGGTGCGAGTCTATAAATATGAAAGATCAATCACAAAGCGGAGACGATGCGTCAGTATGTTGTTGAGAGGCAGAAGGGTGCGCCCGACGGACTCTTCGATTTGCTTCTCAATGGCATGTCGGCCCTGCATCAAGTACAGGTTCTATCGAGCTTTCGGCTGTCTGCGGCGGATTGTTATGAGTCAGACTAATGTGGGTTACATTACTTTGGCTCATAGCAATGCGACGTCCTTGGTCTACTTAAGTCCGTGATCAAATGGAACTGTTTCATTCGATCAATGCAAAATTGTGAACATGTCTAATTAGGTCTATGTCAACGTAAAGAGAACGGCGCGCACATACATATATCGTTGCGATGCAGCTGGGTGGTCTTGACGGACTCCCCATCTGCTTCTCAACGACATGTTGCACTATGAGTCAGGTGGGTTACTTGGTGAGTTTAAACGCATCGTCGCTCTGGGGAAGTTGCGGGCTGTGGCCAACATTATGCGCAGAACTATGCGCTTTCATGACCACGTAGGCACGTTCCGCATCCTCTATAGTCTGCCAGCACCCTTCTACGTTTGGGGACCATAGTGCTACTGCGGCTCTGTGCGACATTGCGGAGGAGCCCGCGTGTTGGTGCATACACTGCACATAAGAAGATTAGGATGCGCTGCGTGGCTCATGCGACCAAGCATCCGTCTCGAAAGAACCATCATCATGAAGTGCTTGTAATGCAGAGACTGCATTTGCGGCGCATGCTGTGAATGGATAGGCTGTAGCAGCTTGCGACTGGGTGTCGAAGTTGCCCTCCGTAGTGGGCAGAGTGTTGTCGTCTGGAAGAGTGAATGCCCCAAAATCAGATGACGGGGGCGCGAGCACGTATGCAGCTGGTGTGAATAACCATTCGCAGTGCGTCCACGCGCAGACCTCATGACCTGGATACCGCTTGGCCTCGGTGCGGGCAATGGGGCCGACGATTTGCCCAGTGTATATTGGGACGACGGCCTGCAGTGGAACGGCGGGGGCCAAGGCAAGAGCGGCATCCGTATGTGCGCCATATGGTGGATTCGCTGATACGAGCGGCGCCCAGTCTGAGCGGGTACCATGCAGACGGGTTTCATGGCTATCTGGGAACCTCATAAGTTGGGGCGTGCAAGGAGGCGTTGCGACAATGGAGTACGGAAGGGCCATCATCGGCAGATTCGACGCAGCACCCGCAATGTCGGGGAATGGCTTGCCTGGAAGTAAAGAGAGCGTCGGTGACGGCGATGCCGCCTGGGTCCTTGAAGGCAGTTGTGAGGGGTTGTCTACCCGCGGTCGAGCCACTGTACGGCGCGAGCGCGACTTCCGGGCAGCCCGAGCAATCGGCACCTCAGACAATAGGACACTTTTCGTACGCCTCTCTCGCAACCGGCGTGCCCGGTGCTCCTCTGCACGGAGTGTATTGGGGTGTTTGACGCTGGGTAGCCGCTTCCCTATGGTGTTGGCAAGATACTTTGCGCAACAAGCGTCAGTCACACGAACCCCGAAGCTCGTCTTGCAAGACGATCAGGGTCTCAGGCATGCTCACCTGCATAGGGATGTGTCGGAGTGCTTTCGGCGCTGTCGGCGACATTGGGTGCGGCTGCAGACGTATGTTATGGAAAGGAACGATGAGCAGGGTATAGGATAGAGATGAGCGCAGTTTCCGCCGTGGCGAGTTTCAGAACGGACCCTTATATGTCCTATGATAGGACTCTTCTCTCGACCTTGTGGCGGCGCAGTACGACGCCTCAAGGCTTCCCTTTCTTTCTTTCTAAATCCTTTTATTGTCCCGTTAGGGCCTAGCCCCATGTCGGACACAATACAGACATGCACTATACTACAATTGCGATGGGGAGCGACTAATCTACGCATAACAGTGGCCCTCGGCGTCCGAGGACGCCCGCAGGGATAGAAGCTGATGCTGGGAGGTGAGTAAGTGTGCGGTAGCGTGCGGTACAGTATGGAGTCCCGACGAGTGCCAGGGCGTGTGCACCGTGACCGCCGCCACCGCCCGACCCTCCAGGGGTAAGGCAGCAGGTTGGTAAACCGCGGGCTTTCGCCATCTTTACTCATAATCTCTAGGCGGGGTACATGGGTCGGTTACCCCTTCCCATGTCAGAACTCCCCCGCTCCTAGCGGCAGCACGGTCGCCGATGCCCACGTCTGGCACTCACCGGATAGCTAGCAGATATGAGAGGGGAAATAGAAGATGACGAGGCCGAGCACCAGCTGCAAAACCAAAACATGCGATCAGCGAGCGCGAAAGGATCAGGAAGAAGGTCAAAATCTCAGCGTTGTCTGCCGCATACGGCGCTGCGCTGCACTAGAGCCGCCGGCTCCAGAGTCGTCCTTGCGCTCAGCAGTCTGCAGGTCGCCAAAGGTCTGATGGAACCGCCGCGTGGCGTTGATATACTTGAAGAGCCGGTCCGTGCCTTCCTGCGTTGTCAGGAGATAGTCGAGGCGAAGTCCGTTGCGTCGCAACGGGCCCAGGAAGACGCGGCGCTGCAAGGAGAACTTTGGGCATTGCAGCACAAAATGCACCACCGTCTCCTTGGCCGCGCCGCAACCTGAGCACCTCTGCGTGTCTGCCCGTCCTATGGTATGCAAGTGGTGGTTTAGTGGCACGTGTCCTGTACGCAGTTGAATCAGCAGAGAAGTGTTGCGCCTTGGAAGGGGCGCAACAAGCTTCTTGAAGCGATCTGAGGGTAAAGCAGGATCAACTCGCCGGAGCCTCTGTCCCCTCGCCGAAAGGCTTCCCTGAGGATCAGCCAGAAGCCTGCTGCGAGCATCCAGGTATGGCTTGAGTGGCACAGGACGAGGAAGTGGAGCTCAGGCACAGCCGGCGAATCTCGCAGAGAGCGAGCGAATACGGGACGCGTATGCTGATGGCACGGGCAGCCTGTCTGAGAGAAAACATTCCGTCCGTGCGACGTGCATCACATTCCTCTCCTCTATGGCTGTGCGGCCCAGGCTATGACCACCTCCTTACCGAAGACAGAGGTCGCGGAGCCGATACAATCAAGACTAGGAGAGCGACGGGCGGCCTACATATACCCACCATGCTGTCCTCGGGCACAGGCCAGAGGTCGCAGTAATTCGCCGCTTAGATCTCATCGGAGCAGTGTCGCTCATGAGGGCTGAAGGTCCAATCTCACCAGAATGCCGTCACTGGCAAGGCGGCGGGAGTTGGTGGGTGGATGCAGACTGAGATAGGCAAGAGAGAACAACAACTTGAACCCGATGCTGTCGGCATGCCGACCTTTTTTGAATATTGCGGAGCGCCGCAACAGCCAAGCACTATACGCCCTCTGCAAAAGTTAGCAGACCATCCTATCCATGTTGTCCATTTTGGTGTTGGTGGGCGATTGAGAGAGAGTTCACATCTTTGGGCTTCAAGGCGCTAGACATCCCGGCAAAACCCGATCCACAGTTCTGTCTAAATATCTTCAGTACTGCACTCAAGCACTCGACAATACTCCTCGAAGCCATACTAAGTGCCGCTATCTCCTTCCCCGTAGTTCATGTCATGTTGTGGCGATCCCAGGTGATCATCGGTAGTGCGTACATTGACAGTCAAGCTCACTTACTTGTGCGCGCGGCCTCAGGTCCAGTGTCAATTGGCAGTCAGTCATGGAGCTCGATATTCGGGTTCACAGTAAAGGACACAAACTCACTTGTGCAAGGGCATCGAAACGCCAGAGTAGGAACTGTGGTTATCTGCACGGAAGGTCTTTCCGAGACTCTCACACTCTCGTGCGATGGCGTCCGGATGGCGTCAAGCTCCGGCGACTGACGCACGCCATCCAGACCATCTGGACAATTTCTGCGACGCGCTATAAGAGTGCTTCCCCATGCAACGTTGACTTTCATAGCACACTTGTTGCTCTCGTATAGTGCATGCCCGCGCAATGGGACTGTCGTCGTCCAGTGAGTCTTCCTTCTGACACAGTTGGCGTAGGAAGCGCAGATCGTGATCGATCGTTTTGCATCGTGCTACCAGACTGCTGATCAAACTTTTCAGACCAACCACAGGGATCTAACACTCCCAACAGCGCCGGACCGATGAAGCGTATCTGCGTCATCGGTGTAGGTCCTGTGGGACTCGGCGCCCTCAAGGTGATCAAGGATTCGCCGCAGTTCAAGGAAGGACTGTGGGAAGTTACTGCGTTCGAGTCTCGCGAAAGGATCGGAGGCATATGGTAGGCAATCTGTATACGTTGCTCTGCTTTTGTTCGCTTGCTGAAGCTATCTGCCAGGGTACCCGCTCCTCCCGAGGGCGACCCGCCTTTGACTGCGCTATATGACTCGCTCACGGCGAACACACCGCATCCGCTCATGTGCTACATGTCGTACCCGTTCCCAACTGCCACGCCGCTCTACCCCCCGGCCACCACCATCCTCAAGTACATCGAGGACTATGCGGCGCACTTCGATCTCAACCCGCACATCCGCTTGAGTACTCCTGTGACGGCCGTTCACTGGGACGCACCGTCGTCGAAGTGGAACGTATCTGTCCACAGTCCCTCGGGCGACGAAACTTCTGCCTTCGACCTGGTGATCGTTGCGAACGGACACTTCCGTGTACCGCGATTCCCGGATACGAAGGGCCTTGCAGCGTGGCGGGCGAAGGGCAAGATCACGCACACCGCGTGGTACCGCCGGCCTCAGGACTACAGCGGGAAGATCGTTGTTGTTGGCGGCGGGTACAGCGGGCAGGACGTCGTCGCTGACACGCGTCCCTTCGCGTCCGAAGTCATCCACTCGATTACAGGTGCCGATCCGCAGGATCTCGACGGCGGGAAGTTCAAGAGGCGCGGCCGCGTCGCCGAGTACCTAGACCCCACCGAAGGGAAGCTCGTGTACGAAGACGGGACCACCGAGTCCGGCGTGGACCATGTCGTTCTTGCGACTGGGTACCAGTTCAACTTCCCCTTTCTCTCGGAGCCAGAGGTTGTCCCTGGGCTACCACCTCGAGTACCGCCCATCCCGTCCGTCTTGTACAACTCGACGTATCACATCTTCCCACTGGCGAAACACCTCTTCCCGCTCGTGACCTCATATCCTCCGACCAGCATCGCGTTCCTCGGGCTTCCGCTGCGCGTTGCGCCGTTCCCGCTTGCAGAAGTGCAAGCGCAAGCGGCGCTGAAGGCCTTCACGAACCCCGAAGTTCTGGACCTCGAGCGGGAAGTAGAGGCAGTTCGGAGGCGCTATGACCAATTCCGCGGAGACAAGGGCGACAACGAGGTGGCGATTGCGGATGCATGGTTCCGCTTCGACTTTGACGAGATGTTCGATTACCGGGACGAGTTGCATGAGTTCCTCGGAGACGGCTATCGGATCCCGCAGTGGGAACGCGACTTGTTCAGGCAGAAGGACTTCCTGCGAGAACAGTGGCGAGAGCTGGAACGTACTGGCGCGGCTGACGCGTGGTCGCGGGGTGTCGGCGCCGGTAGTGAACCTTTCGAGGAGTGGGCGGCGTTCATGTGGAAGGTTATACGCCACAATGGGACGGATGAGAACACCTCACCATAGATTGCTCGTTCACCGTCCACCTGTACATATCGCATGCGATCATCGGGGTATATCACGGTCGCGAGCGCGACGATTCAATCCAATTTGTGAAGCGACTTCGCAAGATTGCCGCAGTGCATTGGTAGGCACGTGATCGCGAGAGGCCATAGGGCGCGCTGTCCGGCTCGCGTCGCCGCACCTGTCTCCCACCGCCATCTCCTCGTTCCGGCTTTCGCCAAGTGGCCTGCAACGCGTCTACTGAACTACAGGATACGACAAAGAGGCTTCGGAAGAGCCAAAAGCACCGAGCATCTTAGAAACTGTTTGGGACAAGGGCTCGTCGGTGCGTCGTGCTTGTCATCTCTTGCAAGTTCCAACGAGCCCTCATTATGCATTGACTCCGTTGTGATTCCCGCAGATGAACCCTTGGAGCTCCCTGCATTACCACGGTCAGCAGTGGCAGCAGCCCCCTATTGCGCCACCACAGCGGCCACCGCCTGCCTTCCCCCCACAACGACACCCGCCTCCCGCCCCGCCTCAGCGACCGCAGCCGACGCAACAAGTTCCCCCTGTCGCTCATCCGCAGCGCATTGTGTATCCTCCTCCTGCTCCTGCTCCGATAATTCCATCGTCGCATCATCTGCCGTCCCACATGGCAGCCGAGCCCCCACGTATCGATCTCACTCCCTTCCGAGAGTTCGCGTCGGCAGTGGGAATCGCCATGCAAGACCAAGAAGCACGGCTCACTGCGAAAATCAACGGTATTGAGACTACCATGAAAGAGCAACAAGCACGCACTTCCGCGACATTGAACGGTATCGAGATTGTGATGGGCGCCTTGAGCAAGAACACCAACGAGGTGCTCGAGATGGCGAAGGCCGCCCTTCATGAAGCAAAGAACAGCACCGGCCACACCACAGGGCCGACCCGTCAAGAGATGAAGGACGCATTCACCGCATTGCATAACTTCATCACCCAGACCACGAGGGCCGTGCTAGGCAAGACGGAGCGGCTGGAGGGCATGCTCGGCGATCCCAGCGCTCCGGACTATGACGACTCCAAGAGGACGGTGTTTGGCCGCATCGACCGAATGGAACAAGCTCTCTTGGAGTTGTCAGAAACTGTCAGTGATCCCGAGGCTGCGCGCCCTGTCATCGTCAGGCACGAGGCTGCTGTCAACACTAGCCCTCCACCTCGTATGACTACCGATGTCGGAGTTGACGCGCTGGCCCCGCCATCCCCATTACAGCTTCCACAGTCACTACTGCAGGTTTCCGAGATCGGCGTACAGGCGGAGGGTCCCCTTCTCGTCGATGCCGAAGTTGAGACGACGACAGAGGTCCCGCGCAGGTTCTCGACTGAATCGGGTACCGCGTTCGCTCCTTCACCGACAGCCGCACGAGGTTAGTCTGGCGTGAACTTCTATGACTTGCTGGCGTCGGCTAAAATCTGACTCGTGTAGCGGCCCCGTTCTTCCCGAAGACGTTCGACGTCCAAACCCTTGCCCCAGCTCAGTGGACTCCAAGAGAGGAGGATAGTGGTAGGTCTCTTGAAGGCTTCGACTAGCAGTGCTCATCATCTGTTTGGCTTTGCAGAGAGCTCTGACTCTGAACCATCGTGCAGATCTCCACAGGACCATCCGCACCACTCTCAAAAAGCCGACTTCTACGACCAAATATCGGCCGCACCGCGCTTTGCCAGCTCCATCTTCGACGAGCAGGAGATCGACCACACCCTAGGGGACGGGACAGACGACGCTACCCGGTGTGGGCTTTCGACTCCTGCGTCTCCTCATCGTGCCTTACCGAAGTCACCGGTTGCTGCGATCCTCATTCCCCTTCCATTTCGTAACTCCAAGTCTCCCCCGCTTGCGCCACCTGTTCCGACAATCGCGCCTCCAACTCTCCCTGCTAACTCGTCTCCTCTGCAAGCACCTACGATTCCCTCAACGCCTCTGTCCCTCAAGCCTGTCAATTCCGCGCCAAGCGCAGCCCAGGCGAGTTCTGTGCTGGTTGGTCGTGCGCTCAGCCCCAGTGCGGCGTCTTCCTCTTCTTTGTCGAGCGTGCCCACGTCCTCGCCGCCTCTCCCTCCACAAGGAACCGAGCAGCCACAGCAAGCGCCTCCACTTGAACGCACGATATCGTACTCGTCCATGTCGTCTTTGTCCACTATCAGTTCAAATGATTCTCAGCCTGTTCCAAACCCCGCCGCGAGTGCCAGCGCTTCTGCACCGGTGAAGGTGAAGACGGAGCGAGCTGAGAACGGCACCGTCGGACGGCCGGCAAAGAGACGGAAGACGGCCGCATCGGCGTTGGGACTACAGTGCAAGGCTGAGAAGGTGCGCGGAGGGGCTTCTTCTTCTGCTAGGAACGGGCGGGGTGGCAGCTCAGCGAGAGG